AATTTGTCCAACAAGAGAGACACAGGACTGCAAAGGATGACTTATCTGTGGGACTCTCTTCCTTTCTCTTAAAGTCTTCCCCACTATCAAGTTTCTTTGACCGATGTTTCAGTATTAACCATCTACTCTTTCTGTCCAAAATAGGTAAAATCTCCTTTATCTACTCATTCTCATATATTTAAATTCTTAGCATTTCCTTATCAAATTATGTCACCCAGATACATCCCTTGGTCTTACAGCCTTCAGTTCAAATGGCAATAGTCACTTACTTCAATTATCATATTACTGTTAGTTTATCAACCTTCCTTACTCTGCCTGTCAGAATTAATTCTCTCATCTTTCTCTTTGACAAAGCCAGCAGCTACCTGCCAGCACTTCCTCCTGGCTCAGATAAATTATGTAACTGTAGCATAGATGAATAGGCTGACAGAGTTCAGTATAAGCAAGAGTTCAAGGTGAGGAAACTATGAACACTAACCACCATCCGAAAGTGTGGTTCTGAATGCAACGCCAGGAAGTTCCTTTAGTTTCTCTCTACCAGCCTCTCTGCTCCCTTCCAGGTTCACAGGTAGGAAAGATATTTCAGGTTGGATTCCCCAGTTTATATTCATCTGGGATCTAGAATGGTAAAAGAAATTTTCTTCAGTGACAGCTTGTTACACAGCATGAAGAAGCCATGCTCTGATCTTATGAAACCATGGAAACTCTTCTATCATGTAGAATTAGGAAAATTCCCATTGATTTCACCAATAAGAGATTTGACTGAGTGAAGAATGTAGCCCTGACCCCACTGTGTCTAATGAACATACAAATTGGGATCCCTTCCACCGCCTCTGGAGAAGTTAACTTCTCTATGAATGGAGCCATCAGGAGCCCCAGGGTTTTGCTACTCACAGAAAAAGGAAAGTGTGATTAACAAACTGGCTTTGAATTTCTTTCCATTTGATAACCATATCAAAACCACAGGTGCAGAAGTGAAAAGTAGAAAATGAAGTTATATGTCTAAGTAGGGCACAAGGGTTCCTAATTTGTGGCCCAAAGGAAGTACCCTTGCCTGACTCCTGGGGAGGAGAGACTATGTTTCAGGGAAGCAATCTTACTACACCTATCAGCATGTGGTCACCTTGCCCACGGAAGGTGTTCTAGTGCTTGTCGTTGACCTGATGTGATTTCCTCTGCTAAATAAATAAACACAAAATCCTAGGAAAAGTTATATTGATTTAGGATGCGAACTGCTGACCTTTCGGTTAGCAGCTGGACACTTAACCACTGCACCACCAGAGCCCCATTTTGGGTTGATAGACCCCTTAAAAATCTGAGAAAGCTATAAAATGACACAAGCACCACTTCAGAGGTTCTTGATGTGCATGAATCCCAGGTCAAGATCTCCTAGTCCATAATATTTTGGTATGTTTATTTATAAATAGTTTTATTTATAAATAGAACACATATGTTGGGATACTGCCCTTCCCTCTGCATTCTATAGTCAAAGGAAGAAAACTCTTAAATTGGGAAGGGACAGTTGAGCCTGACACATCCGAAGACTGAGATACCTGAGATACAGAGAGATTTATAATTAATATAACTAAAGTTGAAAAGGCAGCAAATGTTCTGAATGAGGTCCAAAAGTTGGGCTATTATAGGGAAATAGGAATTGCATATGTATATTTGTTAAGGAAAATTGAGTAGAAGATTAATTCTCACAGTGAAAGATAGATGTATGATTTTAAAAAAGATATTAAAGCAAGAAGCAAAACAAGAGTATAAGACCACCAAGCACCATCATCCAAAGTTCTCCCTCCCTTCTTAACCCCCATAAACAAAGCCTTGGTATTTCCTTCTGCCCAGCAGCCAAAATGTGTCAGGGTGGGGGCGGTTCTCTCACAACTCACTCCTGAGTATTCCCAAGTCTGGGAAGATTTTCACTACGCAAGAGGAGGCTGGAGCTTGATAGCTGCTGAGGAACTTCAGAATATCACCTTCATTTGTAGGTATGAGAGAAATTGAAAAGGCAAAGGCCCACAAAATGGAATGAGAGAGAGGGAGAGGTATGCATCTAGACATGACCCCCTGTGCCAGCCAAGAGGTCACTCTGAGTGCCTGGGAAGCAAGGCCTGAATTTTTGTGTGGTACATGAAGATCAGTTAGCCATACCAGGGTCCAACACCCAACTCCCCACCTCCACCACCACCTGATTCTCCAACTATGCCCCATTTGGAGTCTATCAGTGGAAACCTGAAGAAAACCATCAGTTTAACTTTCTCTAGGATTTTGTGTTTGTTCATTTAGCCAAGGAAATCACATCAGGTAAAGGACAAGCAGCCACTTCTTGGAAACCCTGCGGGGCAATTCTACTCCATCCTATAGGGTCGCTAGGTGTAGGAATTGACTCAACAGCAATGGGTTTTGGTTATTGCCCCAAAAAGGAGCACTGTTGGTGCAAAGGTTAAGCACTTGACTGCTAACCGAAATGTTGGTGGTTGGAACCCATCCAGTGGCTCCACAGGAGAAAAACTTGGCAATCTGCTTCTCTAAAGATTACAGTCTAGGAAACCCTATAGGGCAGTTCTACTCTGCCACATGCAGTCATTATAAGCCAGAAATCGACTTGATGACACCCAACTACAACATTACCCCCAAAAAGATTAGAAAGCACTTATACAGGCAGTCTTAGCAAATCCAAAAATCAATTTTATTAACTTGAGTTCTTTCAAACTTCAAAAGAGATAATCAATTAATTGGCAATGTAATGCAAATCTTATCTCAGTAAAGATTTCAAATGAAGAACTGTCACACATGCACACACACAGAAACATACACACCATTTTCTTTTCTCCAGAATTTCTTTCTCTCTGGTATGATAATAATAAAAATAATAGTTATTCTTATTATTACACTTATACCCTACATTTGTTTAGCAGTTTAGAGTTCACAAAGGACTTTTCAGTGTAGGATCTTATTTCATCTTCTCAATGCTCCTCTGAATAAGTATTGTCACCAGAACTTGTGGTTGAGATAGCCAAGGCTTGGAGAGGCTAAGTCACATCTCAGCTAATAATGGAGTCAAAACTTAAACCCAGGCTTAATGAACTCAGGACCAGTGCTCCAAAATTAAAAGCTATGAAAACAACTTGGCTATTATTTAGTATATTAACCTTTTGAGAAGAAAGAATAGAGGGAATTTGGAAGAGGGCTGGGCTTCCTTGAACTCAAGCTCACTGGCTTTAAGCATCTCTCACAGGTAAAACCCTTAGTACCTGTTTTTTTTAAGTTACACATACCACTTTGTTTTTCCTTGAAGGGTGTGGTGAGTGTGTGAGTATGCAAGCACCTTGAAGTCCTTTGGTTATATCTGTTAACACATGTCTATGAACCAAAGAGAAGAAATGGTTCTAACCCATTTCTAGCTCTGACTCTGGCTCATGGGTCCAGGTTTGGGATTGGCTAGGTTAATTCTGCCCCAAGGAAGCTTAGGCCAAGGTAGTTCACAACCAGTTCAGTTTAATGTAGTTGAACAAAGAGTTATGAGATTACTTCTGCATGCTGCGTTTTCTATCAGATTCTGAGGGTATGAAAAATAATAAATCATAAATACTCTTTTCAAGGAACTCAAAGCATGGGAATTGGGTGAGGAGAGGTGGGGGGTGAAGCAGGTGACAGCAGTTCAATTTTTGGATGAATTTCCAATTCTCATTAAAATTTCTCTAGCTCTGAACTAAGAGGTCATATTCATCAGCCTGCAGGCCAAATTTTGTTATAGTGGTTGTTTTCTAGGAGTTTTAGGAAAGCTTAAAAACTAATGATGAATGCTATGAGTCGGAACCAACTCAATGGCACCTAACAACAACAACATCCATTAATCCATCGATTCATCCATCCATCCATTCATTAGTCCATCCATTCATCTATCCATCCTTCTTTCTGTATATCTGCACATCTGTACTTTTGTCCTTCCTTTTTAATGTTTAAGATCATGGATTTTGGAACCAGCCAGGCAGCCAGAGTTCAAATACTGGCTCTGCAACTTAAGATCACTGTGATCTTGGGCAATAACCTAACCCCTTTGAGACTCGATGTCTTCATCTATTTAATGGGTAAAATTAACATCTACCTTTCAGCTTGTGAGGAATAAATTCGATATACATGTAAACACTTTAAAAAAATGATGAAGCTCAATTCTCATCTAAATCTGAGGTTGATAAGTTTTATTATAACTCTGAAATAAAAATAAAGGATAGCTTCTGACTGTCTCCTTCCTCAAACACCAGGGAGCATCTTCAAGTTATGAAAGAACTAAGTTTCCAAACTCAGTAATGTAAGGGAGAATTAGTACTTCTTTCTCCCTCTTGGAAACCCTGGTGGCAAAGTGGTTAAGAGCTACAGCTGCTAACCAAAAGGTCCTGGTGTTCCTTGGAAACAGTATGGGGTGGTTCTACTCTGCCCTGTAGGGTTGCTATGAGTCGGAATCGACTCAAAGGCAGTGGGTTTGGTTTTTTGGTTTGGTTCCCCCTCTTCTATTTCCCCTCGCTCAACTCTCTTGTTGAGTAAATTGACACTACACTGGAAGATTTGAGTGGTTAAGAGCTTGGCTGCTAACCAAAAGTTTGGCAGTTCGAATCCACCAGCTGTTCCTTGGAAACCCTATTGGGCAGTTCTACTCTGTCCTTTAGGGTCGCTACGAGTTGGAATGGACTCGACGGCAACTTTTTTTTTTTTCCCAGTTATAAGGTTGGCAGTTTGAACCCACCCAGCGGTACTGCCGGAAAAAGACCTGTCGATCTGGTCCCGTAAAGATTACAGCCTAGAAAACCCTATGGAAATTTTACTCTGTCACATGGGGTCGCTATGAGTCAAAAATCATTTCAACAGCACCTAACAATGACAACATTAAGAACTTAAGAAAGGCCCAGTAAAGATATTTTAAAAAGCTGACTATCACCACTTACTTGGCTGATTTATTAGTCAATTCCTGAGTTTTGCTTGTTTTCTTTTTTTCCTAGCAAAAATACAAGGAAGACTATGAAAATAAAATCAAAGGCAAATGGAGTGAGACGCCTTGCTTTGAAGTTGCAACTGCCAGAATGAATTCTGACAACATCAGCACAGTAAGTAGGAAAGGATGGCTGCATGTCTTTGGGTGTACCCTTTCCTTCTACGGCTTCTAATCCCCTGTTGCACCGCCAACGTGGTGGCAGAACATTTGAGGCCAGACCCGTCTTCTTGGGGACATGTCCTGGTAAAGAGTTCCTGTTAAAAAAATTCCACAATCTCTTCTTACTTTTGAGAAATATTATTTTAACCAAATTCCATTATTTCTGCCTCTGTTTTCACAGAAACAGTATGGTGAGACCCTCTTATAGTTTAGGTTTCAAAGTTAGTGTGGGTTAAAGGAGTCCTGCCTAAGTCAAAGGGAGCATGGCTTTGAACTTCTTCAAGTGCTGTGTCCTCCCTTGTAGAATTCTTATGCAGTTTGTTCCCCCAGCGGTTCTCCAGTACATTTCATGTCTTACAGAGGAAATACCAGGAAGACTTTGAGAACATAAAGGACCACATCTACTTCATGCAGACCGAAACACCAGAGTACAAAGTCAGTAAACAAGCTGGGATAACGGCCAGCAAGGTATGGGGACAATTATCCTGTTTATCTTGGTTGTTTTAGGGTGGGTGAATTTCTTGTAACTCTTGTGTATAATGAAAAATAATGGGAGCTTTGAGAGGACTTCCAGGGTTGAGACCAGTGGATCCTAGGCATTTGGGTTTCACAGAAGCTGTTGTTGTTAAGTGCCATCAAGTCAGTTCTGACTCATGGCGACTCTGTGTACAACAGAACGAAACACTGCCTGGTCCTGTGCTATCCTCACAATTGCTGTTATGCTTGAGCCTATTGTTGCAGCCACCGTGTCAATCCTTCTCCTTGAGAGTCTTCCTCTTTTTTGCTGACCCTCTACTCTACCAAGCATGATAGCCTTCTCCAGGGATTGGTCCCTCCTGATAACATGTCCAAAGTATATGAGACAAAGTCTCACCATCCTCTCTTCTAATGGGCATTCTGGCTGTATTTCTTCCAAGACAGATTTGTTCTGGCAGTCTTCAGTATATTCAATATTCTTCACTAACACTATAATTCAATGACATCAATTCTTCTTTGGTCTTCCTTATTCATTGTCCAGCTCTCACATGCATATGAGGCCATTGAAAACACCATGGCTTGTGTCAGGCGCACCTTAGTCCTTAAAGTGACATCTTCACTTTTTAACACTTTTAAGATGTCTTCTGTCGTAGATTTGCCCAATGCAATGCATTGTTTGATTTCTTGACTACTGCTTCCATAGGCATTGATTGTGGATCCAAGTAAAATGAAATCCTTGACAACTTCAATATTTTCTCCATTTATTATGATGTTGATTATTGGTCCAGTTGTGAGGATTTTTGTTTTCCTTATGTTGAAGTATAATCCGTACTGAAGGCTGTGGCCTTTAAGAAGAGAGAAATTGAAGGCTGCAGATATATTCAACTCTTTCAAATTTTCTGCAAAGTCACGAAGAAAATGGGGCAGTAGCTGATGGATAAATGTGTAAGCAGGGGATTTTTAAAGATAGGAGACAAAAATACTATGCTTCTATGCTGATGGGAAAACTCCACTACTGAGGCAAACATGGATGATGTAGGATAGAAGAAGAATGACTAGAGTCATGTAATGGTGAAAGGGAAAGAATTCTGGTGCTGAAGAAGAATGGCTGGCTTAGCCACAAGCCCTGACAGTTCATCCACACAACAGGAGAGAGGGCAGAGGAACCCAAATGCAGGTTAGGGGATAGTCAGGTTTGTGGAGTTGCTTTTCAGGTTGTTTCTATTTTTCAAAGAAATATATAATTCCATAAGATAGAAAGATGATCTAGGTCTTCCATTCCTATACAGTGTCCCATGAATCCTTTGTGTAGGCTGTAGGGGTAGTTCATTTGTGTTTCAGTTTTCGATCTTCTGCCTCTGGATATGAAGCTTATCAGCTTTGTTTTCTGAGATTCTTAAATGTCGGTAAATGATCTAGGATTCCTTGAACTCGTCTATATTCTAGGGTTATAGTTTCTGAATAAATGACCTACATCAGGGAGTGTGGTCAGAACCAGTATCAGTTTCTTGTTCTACCCATTGTGGATACACTCTGGGCAGGAGCTTTGGACACCCCCTTACTGTTTCTGCCATAGCTGAAATTCAAGGTGGGAGGGGCTGATGGAAAAGGTGAGGTTGTCACCATGCATCTCACCCCCAGCTCCTTCCTCCTCCTCCAGCCTGCACATTAAATATGCACGTGCTCACACACATGGTCACAGGAGAGGCATTAAGAGGTAGGCTGATGCTTCTAGCTTCCTTTCTTAAATAAGGTTTTGCCAGATAGGCAGCTGGAGGTTAAGAGCCAGGTGAGGATTCTGTAGTAGCAGGTATCTGGGACATGATGTGTTGCATTATTTGTGTATCTCTCTCTCTCTCTTTTTCTGTCACTCTTGATAAATCTCTCTCTCCATGGGGGCAGGGATCATGTGTTATTCTTTCTTGTGTCTGTCCCAGAGGCAGGCATGTGATCGACACCCTATGGATATTTTTGAATGAATGGGAAGAAAAGGTATCCTGGAAATGTACGCAGTTTCTGTGCTTCTGTTATCAGTTACTACCAGTATTTTGTTTATGAAATGTCAAGCTGCCATTTTTCTAAAGAGAAAATGGATTTGTGGAACTATGTAATAATATCTGTAATAGAGATGAGGGCAAAAATAACCTGCAGAGTGGCTTTATCACTTTATTTCACTTCTACAGGTAAAATACAAAGAAGACTATGAAAAGAGTAAAGGAAAAGCAGATTACAATGTACTTCCTGCTACAGAGAACCCACTGCTCAGGCAGCTGAAGGTGGCAGGAAAGGCCCTAAGTGATGTAAGTATATTCTTGTCAAAAAGTGTTTTTAAACCTCAGTGGCAAGAGAGATGAAATTTTTCTCCTTCTAAAATGATGAAATGCCTATATAACTTTGCAAATACTTTAAGGTTATGGTGGAGCATTTTCACTGGGACGATCTAACCACAGGAAAGAATTAGTATCTCTATGTATAATGTTTCTCAATTTTCTCAGGCCTTTATGGGGCAGCTCTACTGTGTCCTGTAGGGTCACTATGAGTCAGAATCGACTCAACGGCAGCTGGTTTGGTTTTTGTTTTTAGTTCAAAGAACAGGGAAATCCTCATTTGCTTATAGGCTCCCAGTGCCTATGCCTCTGATTGAAAGGCCAGGAGAGAGAGAGACGAAGCTGCTTTAGCTTCCTGCTCTGTGTCCTCCAGGCCTGCTGCCAAGAGAAGGACAATGTCCTGTGTTTCACGACTTCTCTCCCCAACTCTGCCATTTTTTACTCAGAGCTTGGCTCCAGAGCTCATCATTTGTAAACAACAGGGCTTAAAAGATAGCTCCCCGAGTCGTCACAGAAATTTCTATTTATGGAATTGTTAAGAGCCTATTTAAGCAATTAGATTTAAAATAGATTAGATAAATGAGAATTGGGCCTGGCATTAAAAGACAATGGTCCAAGACAATTTCAGCTGTATATATATAGTCAACTGATCATATATTCAGTACTGCAAAATATTGAAATATTGGGAAATGTTGGGAAAGCTTAATACACTGTACTCACCTAACCATAAGGGAAAAACTCAACCGATCACATATTAAGTCTCTTTAGGAGATTGTCTTTAGGAAACTGAGTACGTAATCGGTTGAGTTTTTTCCTTATGGTTAGGTTAGTATAAAATTACACTTTCCTAATATTCGAGGATTATATGTAACTGTCTGTGTGGGTTAGTTATCTTTTCTTTGTTCCTTGAATTAAATCAGCAACCTAGAAATATGTGCATGTGATTGGGGAGTGGGATGGGTTTAGTGGCTGATGAGAGGGTGTAAATGGATCTGTCCAGATAGCTCTTCTGGGAAATCAACGCAAGACACCTTCATCTGCTTCCTAAATCAAACATATAAAAGCCTGGGTTCAAATCCACTTTGTTGATAAAAACAGGAATATAAAAACATTAAAACAAGTAACACTGTTTACATTTTCAAACCCCAACACGAAAGGTAACAATGATCTACTTTATCAGTTGTGCATTTAAAACCAATAATTAAAATTTAAAATTAAAACCAATGAAACAGCCTCAGAGTAAAGAGCAAACATTGAAAGAACAGGGAAAATAGACACAGGAGTAGATTTTGAAATACCTCTCAGTAACTGGGTGACAACTGAGATGGCTCCCACCGAATACTAGAACATCAAAGCTTGGTCTAAGGAACACTACAGTCAGTAGCTGCACAAGGCCCATTCTTTTCAAGGACGCAGGGAATAGTCATGAAAACTGATTGCATACAGAAACATAAAGCAAATCTAAAAAAAAAAAACTTATTGTTTATGCTTATTGTTAGAGCTAAAGGTAAATCCCAGCAGAGAAGAACAGTAGATTCATGATTTGAGTCAATCTGGTGTGTACTTTATTTTTGAGGCAAATTGACTGTTAGTGTAATAAGAGATTCTTCCTTGGTAGGAGGGGAAGAGAGAGTGAGTATTTCTCAACTTATACTAAACTTTTATGAAGGTTTGTTTAAAACCAAAAAAACTTGCTTTTGCTGAAAACATTCCTGTCTGTTGCGCACCATCATTGTGGGAAGAGTGCATGAGATGAGGTGGAGAAGGCAGCAATTCAGAACTCCACGTGATCTCTGTAACCAAGGCTTGCTCAGAGATAGCATATTGTTTTTTTAATTTTTTGGAGAACATTAAAACTTAGACTTTACAAGAATTGCTAATGGAAAAGGCTGATAATTCGTGACACCCCAATGTTTGATTGTCAGTTTTTAAGACAGTTGGCAGGCGATCTTTTTTCTTCTTTTGTTTAATGTTGGAATATACAAGTGTTATAATCAGTGTGGGAGTGACAAGAACCTACTTTAATAGATTTTTTCTTTCTTTGACAGAAATTATACAAGGAAAACTATGAAAAGACAAAAGCAAAGAGCATAAATTACTGTGAGACACCCAAATTTCAGGCGGATACAGCTCTGCAAAACTTCAGTAGTGATGTAAGCCGCCCTATGCTCACTCCATCTGCTAATGAAAAGACCCATCATTTCATCAATAATGAAATGAAATATGTTTTGTCTTTTAGAATAAATATAAAGATTCCTACTTAAAGAATATTTTGGGACATTATGTAGGCAGCTTTGAGGATCCATATTATACACATTGCATGAAAGTCACAGCTGAAAACAGAGATGTAAGTTCTAATTCAGTCATTTGATTTTCCAAATAATCCATTTTTAATGTGTAAATACAATGGTCTGATTTCTTCTCCTTATAGAAAAATTACAGAGCTGAATATGAAGAGGACAGAGGCAAAGGCTTCTTCCCCCAGACCATAACTCAAGAATATGAAACAATCAAGAAACTAGATAAATGCAAAGATGTAAGTCTGTAGCATGAACTTCAGTTGTTACTGCCCTCCATAGTATATAGTGGCCAAGATATGTTTAAAATCTGGACACTTTTACAAACAAGCAAGGAAATTGTAAGAAGCAAAATCTATTTGGTAGCAGATGTACTGTTTTTCCTTTTTTTGCATTCATAAGTTTTCAGAGTTAATTCTTGCTTATCTACCAAAAAAAGAGTTATGGGGAATGTGAGGATATGGGAAAAGTTTCTCCTACAGATGTAAAAAAAATAAAGAAAGAAACTGCACTCTTGTTAATAAAAAAATAAATCTTGCATTAACTGTAAGTTTGTTTGTTTTTTTAGCTGGGGGAGGGTTCTGCTTGCTCAGCCTACAGGCCAGCTTGGATTTGACAGATGATACTGCTAAACCAAATTCCTTTTCTCCCCTTCCAGAATATCTACAAAGTCCACCCAGACAAGACAAAATTCACTCAAGTTCCTGACTCTCCTATTTTGATGCAAGCCCAAATCAATTCCAAACAACTGAGTGATGTAAGTTCTGCTAAGTGTCTAGCAAATCCAGTTATGAAGGAGAGGATTTCATAACTCTATACATAAAATCCAATGATTGGTTACACTTATAAAAGAGGTTATGTATGTTTTAGTAAGTTTAACATGTACATATTGGTAGTCACCTAAAATGTTTTTCTATTTGGTTACCTTGCATCTTCTTGGGAGGGTAATGCCTATAATGAAATAATTATATGAAGGAAACTAACATAGCTTAACGCATTGAAGTGTACATGAGTTCTTGAGTCGACAAAACTGGACTTGAATTCTAGTTCTATCAATTATGACCTGGTAGCCTAGACAAATGATTTCACCTTTTATGCCTCATATTTCTCTTATATAATTTGTGGCTGTTTTGAAGATGAAACGAATCCTTAGTACATAGTACACAGCCTGGCACAGAGCATGTATTTAATACATGGGATTTCTCTCTTTCAAATAAACTTTTCAGAAATTGGAGTCTTTGAGACAAGTTTTTTTTTTTTATCATATGAAGTTTTATATATGAATTTCCAAACTTATGTTGGACTAAAAAAAAAAAAAAAAAGTGTAGCTGCAGTAGATTTATGGCCAGAAAGGAAACAAACCATAATGTATGTGAGAGGACACATAACCAGATTTGTTAGGAAAAGTTCTCCAATAAGTGAGCATTGGCAATGAAAAGAAAGAAAGGGCTGTGCTACTCTTCGAATCTATAGGACCAATTTTTATATACATGGAGGGGAAAGAATATGAAAGAGCCACTTCATTCCATTATGGCCCTGCCATGGTGACAGATGTGACAAATGTCCAGCACTCAGGATGTAAATAATGCAAAGTGACTTATCTAAGCTCTGGATCTCTCTTTTGATCCAAACAGCTTTTTCAGATATGTCACAAAATGTAACACACAAGATTTTCTGTGTTTTGAAGCAATACTTCTTCTGAACTGACTGGCGCTCTCTCTTGCTCTCTCTCTCTTTTTCTCTCAGCTAAATTACAAAGCAAAACACGAAAATGAAAAATTCAAGTGCCATATTCCCCCAGATACTCCCGCCTTCATTCAACACAAAGTCAATGCTTATAATCTGAGTGATGTAAGTTTCTTACACTCTATCCCATGTGATATACTGATAACTTCTGCTTTTATTTTTTAATTCCATCATGGAATAATTATTTCAGTGTTAGTAATATTTAATAATAATCTTTCAGTGTTAACACTTGTATCATGTTCCTATGTCCCGACCAATGTAACTGTTTGAATTCACCTTATAAAATGTGTGTATCAGTCTTGTAAGTAGCTTCATACAATTAAACTGTCTTAGTACATTTTAACCAACTCTCGGAATGCCACCATCTTCAAGTAATTGTAAACCTTAATGTTAGACTTTTTAGCCATATATTCATTTATACCATACTCCAATTAATCTTTTTTTCAGAATCTTCTTTTAGACACGATTTTGTTTCATGTATTCTCCAAGCTTTTAATTTCCCTTATTTCACTCAAATGATGCTTATTTCTACATGTAAGAGAACTTGTACTTATGGAGATATAGAGTATTTATTCAAAAGGCATAAGGCTAGGTATCCATTCTTATCTTTCATTTTCTGAACTTAATTTTATGGAAAAGTCAAATTACTCTTGGGGATCTCAATTTCATTAACAAGTCTATAAATGAGTACTAAGATTATCAAACAACAGTAATGATTGTAATGATTCATGAAATGACCTTTGAAAAGGACTTAAACGTCAAATGAAAGTAATGGCTTTATGTCCATAGAAAGTAAGTTAACTGTAGAATATTTTTGCAGCTCTACAGAATATTCAGTATTAGAAATCAAATATTAGTATGATAATTAGAATTAAGTTAGTTCTATGAGATACTCAAATGAAGAGTAGAGAAGCCTGATCATGGAGAATTAGAAGTTTCAGTTTGAGGAAAATTATCTAAAATATGAATATTTTCTCAAACAATAAGAAGGATCTATTTATTTTATAAGGAACTCTGGTGGTGCAGTGGTTAAGCCCTCGGCTGCTAACTGAAAGGTTGGCAGTTCTCTGTGGGAGACAGATGTGGCAGTCTGCTTCCATAAAGATTTATAGCCTTGGAAACGATATGTGGCAGTTATACCCTGTCCTATAGGGTCACTAGGAGTCGGAATTGACTCGATGGTAATGGGTTTTGGTTTTTTTAAAATTTATTTTATATTTTGTTGTTAGTTGCCAGTGAGTCGATTCCAACTCAGGGCAACCCTGTGTGTGCAGAGTAGAACCGCAGTCCATAGGGTTTCCAAGGCTGTGATCTTTTGGAAGTAGATCACAAAGCTTACTTCTGACAGGTTCTGTGTGGGTATGAACTGCCAGCTTTTCAGTTAGTACTCCAGTGCATAACCATTTGTGCTACCAGGGAGCCCTATTTTATATCAAGACACAATATTTCATTGCCCTTTAGCCTTTAAAATGTGATGACATGCATATCACTTTTACTAATTCCTTTGCTACAATCTTCTGTTCAGAATGCTTACAAGGAAGACTGGGAGAAGAGCAAAGCTAAGAAGTTTGACATTAAAGTGGACGCCATTCCCCTGCTGGCAGCCAAAGCCAACAGCAGGAATGTTAGTGATGTGAGTATGCCCAGTGTCCAGGGCAGGGGCCTCAGGGATGCTTCCT